CAAGGTCATTATAATAATTTTAATTGTCATTTAAAAATTGATTAGTCTAGTGTAAGTCCATCTTACATGAGATGAATAATAAATTTCTTCTTATGATTTATAATTATTAAATTTTTGCTAGTAATTTTTAGGAATAAATAGTATTTTTAGTGAAAAATATTATATTTCTAATATCGATTTCATATGTGACAATTTTACATTACTTTTTGTGCATTAAAATTATTTATAACAATGTCAATTATAGAAGTTTTTACAATAACAATGTAGTACAACATTGACATAGCACTCACAACCTACATTCTAGTGACCTAATTTTAAAAAAAAAAATTAAAAAAAAAAACAATATTTCACGTAAAGTTAATCAATATAATTATTACATTTAATACAAAATCAAATCACATGAGACACATGTTACTTGATTATGGTAAATACTTTTTTAGTACATCTTATTATAGGAAACTTTTCATTTTTGGATTGAAAAAGTTACTTGAATTATTTTTTACCCAATATGTTATTAACTGATTTAAAATGTGATAAATGTTACAGCTCTTTTATATTCATTTGTTATTATAAATTATAAATAAATTATAAATTGATCAATATTTTTTGCAGACCACGAGGTGTCATGAGTAAATCCTAACGGTAGAAGACACATTTAAGTCCGAACCATATGCTGTCCAAATTGGTTTTTCCACACGAGACAAGTTTCGAACTCCCGACCTCTCTTAAGGGGCAAGACTACAAGAGTGCACAATCACTCACCGCCAATTTGATTGCAATTTAACCAAAAAAAAAAAAAAAAAAAAAAAAAAAACAACAATACATAGTAAAAGATTTAGTGAACAAAAAGTAAAATGTGTAGCATTATTTTTTGACAAAAGTAATCCTATGATTTTGAACTGAAAATATGCTATTCTGTGTATTCTTTTATAGAGATTATGTCAAAATGACTAAATTTTAAATTAAAAAAATAATAATAAAAATTATTGAAGGATCACACTTTTGTGCGACAATTTCACTGAGTCGAGTCAGATCGGGTCAATATGCAAATGTAATACTATATCAGTAATAAAATATCTGTTACTTATAAGATAATACAAAATATTTTTTTACGACAAATGTAATATTTTTTATTTTGATGTAAAAGTATTATTTTTCATCAAAAGTATTATACTTTTCGTTCTAAGTAATGTTGCACTTATAAAAAAAAAAAAAATGTAGTACTCCGTACTTTTGATGAAAAATATAATATTTTTACATCAAAATGTAAAAGTATTACTACATTTTTGTTGAAAAGTATTACACTTTTTTTATATAAGTAATAAACATTTAATTTCTGATTTAGTATTACATTTGATAGTATAAGTATTACATTTCATCATGACATAACTTGTCTCACGGATCTTTACACAAATTTTTGCCAAAATTGAAATCTTTGTTTACAAAATGTTAAAAATAATTTAAAAGTTATAAGCTTAAAAAAAAGAGGCACAAGTGTCAAATAGGCCCATCTACTATTGCGAAGTGCTCAATTCCCACCACGAACTAAATTAAGTTTCAAATAGGCCCATCTACTAGCTAAATTTATTCAATTGACTTTTTTTACAGGTTACCAACAAGTTACCTATTTATTAATTATTAAAAAAAATAATTTAAAAAAAAAAAGATAATAGCCACAGCTGTACGGCGAGGACAGCCGGTGGCTATTATTTTATTTTTAAAAATTTTGTATTTATTTTTTAATAATGTTAATAAATAGGTAACCTGTAAAAAAACTAATTGAACAAATTTAGCTAGTAGATGAGCATATTTGACACTTAATTTAGTTTGTGATGGGAATTGAGCGCTTCGCAGTAGTAGATGAGCATATTTGATACTTGTGCCAAAAAAAAAAATTACTACACTATAGATCTATAAACTCGTTTCAGAGTCTATGAAATAGGCAAATCTCAAATTACCTAAATAGTTTTCCCGATTTGTACTTTTTTATACACAAAAAAGTCTTCATCACCACTAATTTGAAAGTAATACATGATGAATATATAATTACTTCTTAAATAATGATTAATCTTTGGGGGGTTTGTAGATAAATTTTGATTTATCATCAATTTGAATCACAAAGTCCATGTCACTTATCCAACAAAATGCTTCAAATCTAATCTAATTCCAATTCCAGCTGGCATTATTTTTTTTTTTTCAAATTTTAAAAAAAAAATAGAAAAGGAAAAGAAATAAATGGGCTAAACCGTTACGACTTGGCGTAATGGCGGCAAGTTGTGGAGGCAGCCGACTAGCCGAGCCAGCCGAAAGCAACGGCTGACGGCTAAGCGGCAAAGAGAAAACAAAAAAAGAGGCGCGACAGCCCGTGATTGACTAGGTTGAGTGGTCCCCACGTGCCTCCCGGACCCCAAATCTCCAACTCCAAACGAGTTAATCACGGAATATATTATTCCTTAAACGTTAATCCAATCAAACTTACCTAAACGCACTCCACCACGCAATTGGTAAATTTTTTGCTACTTCCATTTTTATCATGTTAAAAATCGTGTCACCTCATCATTTCTATTTTATTATTCAAACTATATATATATATATATATATATATATATATATATATATATATATATATATATATATATATATATATAGTCAAGTTCCTTTGAGAACAAGTCTTCTCATGTGGCATGTGCGATTTATGGCATTAAGTATGTATAAATGCAGCACACAGTGTTTGAAAATACACCATTATATGTGGTGCATTTTTTTGGTGTGTGGTGCATTTTGTGACATTTTATTCAGGTGCGATTTACACTATTAGATATGCAGAAATGCACTATAAAGTATTTGAAAATACACCATTATATGTGGTGCATTTTTTTGGTGAGTGGTACATTTTGTGACATTTCATTCTGGTGTATTTTCGAACGCTGTGTGGTGCATTATGAATATCTAATGGTGTAAATCGCACCAACCGCAAGGGAAGAGCTGTTCTCATTTGAACCAATATGTATATATAATTGATGAAATAACTCGCAACCGTTATTCGAATAGTACATTCTAGAAGAAGATTGTCATGTAATCTTATCCGACAAAGGTGCACAATGATTGGCTAGTTCTTTTAGATTCAAACTTCAAATCTTGTAAATTATTTGACCAACTCAACTCGAATTGCAGTCCCTATTTTATTCCTATTTTGCTTATATATATAATATTTATGTAATTTCATCTCATTTTATGTATCAGATATTTAGATTTCAATCAAATAACAAAAACAAAAAAATTACAATTATTATTTTCGTACAGAGTATTATGTTTTTAGTGCTGGAAAATAAAATTTATAAGGAAAAATTTACGGTGTCAATAAATATCCGATTACAAACTAACATGCTGTGTGAAAGACTTTCAATTTGTATAGGATTCACATTGGAGTGTTATCAGTACAAGAGTCATTGATATTGATCGACATCTTATATATAAATTTTTAATTGTAAATATTGAAAAATGATATGAGCGAAATTTTAAGTACAAGAATTTAAATTTTAAAAAACAACAATAGAAGTTACATGTTTATTTTTGAAGTATTGATTTTTGTTTTTAAATTTCTAATTATTTTATGAAGTTTCCTAATGAAGTCACGTTATTCGTAACCTTACTTTTTTAGCCAACAAGTTTCGAAGAATGTTTCATTCTTTGCCTCCATCCTTTTATTGACTTGTGGAAGGACACAATGCAATTTCATTTAAAATTTAAAAGAATCATGTACGAACATGAGAAACACCTTTAACCAAAAATTATTATTTAATTATAATTTAGATCTAATAATATAAATTAGCTATGAAAAATACTCCCTCCGTCCCGAATTGGTTGTCTCATTTGCTTTTTGCACGCTTTTTAAGGAATTAAAGTAAATGTTATGTATTTTCCAATTATGCCCTTCACTTTTTCACTTTTGAGAATAAAAGCAAAAGTCATAAGGGTAATTTGGGAAAAAGTAGAATGATGGTGATGTTCAATTTTGGAAAGAGGACAACATTTTGGGACAAACTAAAAAGGAAAGTAAGACATGCAAAATGGGACAGAGGGAGTAATTTTTAAAATCTTTACTATCTCGTAAAATATTACTGCGACACGGAGTTGATAAATTTAACTCGCACCGGCTCAGATCATTGATTCAGTAGACAGTATTTAGAAGAAAAGACCAAGTTTTGAACATCGACAACGGCAGTATGAGAATTGTGCTCAAATTGAACAGATCTATTGTGTGCACCAGCATTTGACCATGTCTGCTGAGCTATTGAATTATCGTAATTTACATCTTCTCAAATGCTATGTTGGGTCGGGATGTCGGGGGCTCTTGAGGTTGAGATTTAACATTTTAGGAGAAGGAGTTGATAAATTTATGAATAGTTAATAAATATTAAAAAAAGTTGGTGACACATTAAAAATTTAAAATGTATAATATAAAAATAAATTTGAAAGAAAAAAAGTTTTTTAAAGGGTGATTTTATGTCATTTTCACTAATTTTCAAAATAAAAAATTATGATTATTAAAAAAATGTGGAGTCAATATTTATCGAGACTCGTTGGATATTATATACACCCGACACCCCGCACACGTTTTTTACTCATGAATCATAATAAATGAATAAATAAAGTAATATAAAATAAAATAATAAAATAAAGAGAAAAAGTCTAAACGAGAGTACGAGACGCCCGTGATGACGATGGACCCAATCTCCAAAGCATTCCCACACCCACGCGCCTCCGTCGTTATCACACTTTCTCTCTCTAACCCCTCTCCCTTTCTCTCTCTATCTTTATCCCTTTCTCTCTCTACTTTCTCTCTCCATCTTGTCTGCACTATATAATCCTTCCCAATCTTGCCCCCTCTCCTCACCTTCAACTGCTTTTTCTCTCTCTTGTGTACGAAACCGCAACTCGAAGAAAATCAACCGATTCCATTTCGCTTTTTTTGTTTTGTTTTTGGGAGGTATTTTAATATGGAGGAAGTGAGTTGCAAGAAGCGAGTTCGAGACGACTCGGACGAGTTGGGGATCGACTCGCCGGAGGTGAAGAGACTCAGGGAGGATCTGTTGGATGACCTGGATGAATTTGAGCTCTGCACGGCGGACCAGGATCTGGACTCCTTCATGAAGAGCTTCGAGGAGGAGATTGCGGCGTCGCCGACGCCGGCCGCCGCAGCGGTGGTTGACTTGACGTCGGAGTCCGGCGAATCCCAGCCGGATCTCGGATACCTATTGGAAGCCTCCGACGACGAGCTTGGCCTCCCGCCGGCTACGGCGTCGCCGCCGGTAGAGGCGGAGAAGCCGGAGTTGATCCGTGTTTGCTCTGACTCGGCCGAACTCACCGGCGGTTTGTGGGGCCTGGATGACCATATTGGGAGTTATGACTCGTACGAGTTTGGAATCGTCGACTCGGAGAACTATAACATCAACGGCGGTGAATATGCTGCGCTGGATGGGTTATTTGACCATTCGGATCTTGCTTTCGGGTCGGGTGATTATCTGTGGAGACCCGAGACCTTACCGGCAAATTAGAAGTTTAGATAGGCAATAGACAATGTAAATCTTTTTTTTTCTCCCTTTTATTATTATTTTATTTTATTTTATTAAATCCGTAGCGGAGAAAAGGAGTATACTTAAATCACTGGAAAAAAAAAATTGAAAATACCGATGCTTAAAAGGGATGGTTTTAGCCTATGATGCTTGTCGGTGCCTAGTCTCAATTTTGAATATTTAATTTAATTTTACAGAAATATCTATCATTTCCATTTTACGAATTAAAAAATAAATAAATAAAGCGAAACTACATAAATTTAGAAAAAATGACATCCAACGACCAACGTTATCAAAAAGCAAAGGACGAAGTCTCTCGGGAGGCTTCTAGAACACACAACTCCCAACAATAAGCAAGGGAGGAAGTAGGATAATTTTTTAGATGTAAATCACGAGGTTCCACACTGTCGCTACTGAGTTTCGAATTTTTTTTTTTTTTTAAATATTACCTTAAGGATACAAATTTAAAATTTGTACAATCATAAGGTTATGAGTTTGAATTTCAACTTTGTGATTCTTTATTGGTTATGGTCACAAGATAACCTAAATTAGTTTAATCCCTTATGATTCTTTGTTAGTTAGAGTCACAAGACGATCTAAGTTAGTTTATTTCTCCGTGAATTATTATTAGTTAAGGTATAAGATAGATTTACCAAGTATACACTTTCAAATTGTGATTGCATATTCTTTTTGTCACCTAAAAACAACTAAGGGAGGAAGTCTCCGTGCAACTCTTCTAGAAGTCTAGAACATTCAACTTCGAACAATTGAGTTTGATTCTTCATGGGGTTCAAGTCTGAACTTATGAATTCAAAATACATAATAACGGAGTCTAGGATTTAGTCTGATGAAATTAGAAAATCTGAATTAAAAAACAAAAACAAAAAACAATTGAATTTGACACAAGCAACAAGCCAGTCCACACAAAAGAAACATAAATATAGGATATTTTTATAGTGTTATATCAATGGTATTTGGTACAAGGCCGGTATACTTTCTTTATAAATATATAGTTCTTCATTATTTTATTAGTACATACTTACATATATATTAGATCCAATATGTTTTTAAAATTTTAATTTATTTTCTGATGTAAACCACAAAGTGTTCCGGGTCTTTCTCCGGCTGTCTTATATTTCGAGTCCACCCGACTAATCTCCATTCGCTCTGAGAAGCATGAGAACTGGTCCAAAAAGAATTGTCACTTGTGAAAATCGAACATGAGTTATCCTTACAAAGAAGTCCATTTGCCACTTGAACTACTCTTTAGATTTTTGAAATTTTAATTTAAATCCACAATAATTTATATATTTAAATGTCAGTTAATGCGTGCCATCTTAAAATAGATGCAACCCTAGTCAAGCTCATCTTAGCCTTTTCATGATTAATTATTTTCAAGTTTGAAAAAGATATCAAACATACATCTATTAGAAAATCTGCAATAATATTAATAAGAAAAAAAAAGGTACATACTATGAATCTATCTTATAAATGTTTATAAAAAAGAATTTGGTCGGAGATTTGACTCTTGTACATACGTGTCATGTTAAAATGCATATGAGTGTAACCTTAATTAAGACTTTAATTTTCTTGAATAGCCTTGTTGGCTGTATGGATGCCGAGTGTTGTACAAATATTAGGGATAAATTTAAAAAAGAATGTAACATTACTTTAATTCAAATACATTATACTCACTTTATTATAAAAATAATTCAATTCAAGATTACTTTTCCAAAATTAGAATATTATGTTTTTTGTTCGAATATATATACAACTCAATGGAATAAGATTGAAAAAAAAAAAAAAGAGTTTAAAGAGGCGTAAGCATTTTGGTCTTATGTCTTACTTGTTCGGATAATTTTGGTATATCAGAACGCAAAGATAAAGTTCACAAGCACAAAGTAAATATACAATTCTAACCCACTCTACCCCTAACGGCTCAAAGCAACCAAAATCAACCATCAATAAATAATATTGGTGGGAAGGTTTTACAATGACACATATTTTAGAAAGTTGTATTCTTTTCTTTTATATATCTAACTATTTTCGTGGATGTTCTTTCTGGTGTGACTTGGAACAATTACAATAGTGAAATTTGGGTATGTTTTTAGGTGGAAATGCTTATGTAGAAGAGAGAGAAAAATTTAATTCTTCTTTTAAGGAGCTGGTTTTTAGTCGTGAAGTGGGTCCTACCATGTGTAAATATTGATCGTATTTGGTCGCGTGCGGGGCAACCATAGTGCCCAGCAGGGACAGTTAAGATGCAGTTTTTTTTTTTTTTTTTTTCTCTTTCCTCCCATTGTCTCTTTCCTAGTCACACTTGTAAAAAATTTCAACTACTTAAGATGCTCTTTGATTAGTTGGCTGAGTTGTCATTTAACATAATAGGGTGCTCGGGTCGAGCACATCCTATCTCTCCTTGACTATTCTCGTGGAGATCAGATTTAAAATAATACCGACTACCTCTCTTGCATAGTTTAATTATATTTTTGTTAACATCTTGCGGTTTATCTCTCTTGCATAATTTGAAAGGTAATATACGCTTTCGAACCCAACACCCTGCACTCAGCAACTGCTAGCAAAGTAATATTTCACAACTTATTTTGAATTGTGTCTCAGTGACTATTTATTTTGCACTTGTTCATAGAGGTGGTCACACGCGAAATCAGTTTTTGAAAAAGTTGGTATTGTGTGATACCGTCTTATATGAGATGTATAATATTTTTAAATTAAAATTAATATTTTTCTATATATCCATTAAAAAACATTACTTTATCTGTCTCATTTTATGTGTCATATTTATTATTCATTGATCAAACCAATTATTTTTTTTTAGTATTTTTTTTACTTATTTTTAATTTTTTTTTATTGTGTTTAATAGTATTTTTAGTGTAGTTTTATATATATACATTTTGTATACTAATACTAAAGTTAATATTATAAAATATTAAATTAAAAATAATTTTAGTCAAATCTTGTTAACTGCACCAATCTTAGATTGAGAGTCAATCGTTATGCCATGGAACCGTGTTCACCATTCAACTGAGGAAACCAAAAAAAGGCGTTATCTTTTTTTTTTTTTTTTTTCTTTTTCTTTTTCTTAATTAATTGCGTGACTTTCTTCTTCATTTTCACATTTCGCGGTTTCACTTTAATTTGAGGTGAGCAATGATTTCGGACATTCATAAATTATGAATTCATGCCTGCACATTCACTTTGGAACCATGCCTACACATTCCCGTCCGAAATCACGGACATTCATAAATTATGAATCCATGCCTGCACATTCACTTTGGAACCATGCCTACACATTCACTTTGGAACCATGAGATTATGAATTTTCTGTTATAAGATTATGAATTTTCAGTTATGAGATTATGAATTTTCTGTTATGAAATTATGAATTTTCTATTATGAGATTATGAATCTACATTACATTCATAATCTCATAACAGAAAATTCATAATCTTATAACAGAAAATTCATAATTTAATAAATATTTTATTTTTATGCGATTATGAATTTTCTGTTATGAGATTATGAATTTTCATTACATTCATAATCTCATAACAGAAAATTCATAAGTTGATCAAACGCGCGCCGTTAACTTCACATCTGCGATTTTATTATTATTATTATTATTTTTTGCGTAAAAATGATGTCGTTTGGACTTGTGTTCACCATTCACGGTGAACACGTTTCCAGGACATAATTTGCGGATTGAGAGACGAGAGTGGATTGGAACTTTTCAAAGGATGGACTCCAAGACAATTCTAGTTATAATTTGAATTGGCCCGATGCATTGCATTTGCATCACACATTGGAAGAATAATAATAAATGAATCTACAAACATTATTAAATTTTAAAATGACTAAAATAATTGAAATTAAAAATTAAAAGTTGAAGACTTGACTTCCAATATCAACTTGATTTGATTTTGACAAGAATGAGGGTGGGAGAGGGAAAAATATATATTTTAACATAATAAAAAAAAAAAAAACCAAAGACAAAAGTGGGTAGAAAGTACATATTATTTATTAAATTTTTATTTACGGGAAAGCCCGTAGCTGGCTAGCTGCTACTCGAAGGTGCCCTATAAGTGAATTACACTTTATGATCATAGTTCGCAAAAGACCGCAATTAGGTAAACCAACTGGAAAATAAATAAATTATTTATTAAAATTTTAATTACTTATTTATCAAGAAATTGGCTGAAAATCACATTGAGATCTAAGTGAGCCAATACCAAACATTGAGCAAAAAAATTAACATTACTAAAACATTTAGGATCAAACTGAAATTTAGTTAAAATTTTGAAACAAAAAAAATGAAATTTATTCTACATAAATACTTTCCTTTCATTCCACAATCATGAAGTTCAATTAACATTACTAAAACATCATGAAGTTCAATTAAAGTTTTCCTCAAAAAAGAAGTTCAATTAAAGCCCATAACATAATCTTAGAGTTCAACCTAAGGCCCATTACATTGATGGGCCTACCGGCCTAGACAAAGTCCAAATTCAGTTTTCTTAGGCCCATCTGCAAATTACAATTTTTTTTTTATAACAATACAATATAATTTCTTCTATACTTTGATTATTTGAAGTGTATCCAGTCTGGAAACTAAATAATAAAATAATATTTTTTATTTACTTATTTTTAATTTTCTGAATTAAACATGCTAATGTTAATGTCTTGATTGTTAATTCTGGTTTGATTGGAAAATTCAGAAAAAGACTGAGAGTGAAAATGAGGCAAAGATCTTAATTCATTTTCTCAATTTGTGTTCATCTTAACTTCTCATAAATTGTCCTCCAATTAACTATTTCTCTTAAATCTTGCTTTATTTGACTTCTTTTCACAAATTGTGATTCAATTAAGTTCTTCATTAAATCTTGCTCTATTTGACTTCTTCTCATAACCTTTGTTGTACTTCACTTCTATTCTAAATCTTTGCTCCATTTGTGATGTCATCATCAAATATTGTGTTGTATAAGCCTTCTTGACACTTAGAATATTGTGAGTATTTTGAAGCGATATATTTCAAAAGAATTAGGGGTTTAATTTTTCAACCTAAATTACACTTTTGGCTCATCAAAATCTATTTACATATTTTCTTAACATGACGTTTTAAAGTCATAGTGCTTAAAAACACTAAAATGATTTAGAAACTTAGCCAATTTGAAACTAAGATAATTCAATTGAAAGAATAGTGTAAATCAAGAGATATTAGAAAGCACAACTTGCGTAATAGTATTGTTATCTTTACCAATTCATCTAAAATAATGGAGAAGAAGGTAAATGTACACTAATTGTCCATAGTTAAAATATGTCTTGGCTTTAAATCTAGCTCTCATCCACATATCAATTTGACTAAACAATTTACATATTTAAATAATGGAGGTTTAAAAATAGTATTCGTAAAAAGTCACATACAACGAATGAGAAAGGTGAACCATATACTCAATAAGTTAAATTGAAAGGTATTCAAGTATGACGAGTAGAGAATGTACCGAAATGTAACTCTAATTCAAAAGTTCAACTGGAAGGTGTACAAGACACTTTACAGGGAAAACGAAACAACATGCTCAAAGTCACTTTTTGGGACATCTATCGAAAAGTCACTTTATGGGTTACTCATCGAAAGTTAAACTTCGAAGGTCATTAATAAAACCCAAAAATATTTAAGAAAATCAATAACGGTGACCGAAAGGTTATATCTATATGATGATTGGTTGTTGGTTACGGTCCAAATTTGAAAAATTTCATAAATTAAAGCAACAATCTACTTTTCGAGGTGCATAGCAATGTGCAAAGACCCAAAAAATTTTACAATGTTCCCAATAATAACTATAACACCTTTAGAGCATCCACATTGGTTGGGGAGAATGAGGGGATAATGTAAAAGTGATTAGGAAAGAGAATGTGGGAGGGGAGAAAAAAAAAAGAAAGAAAAAATAAAACAAAAAAAAATTAAAAAAAAAAAAAAAAGTAATCAGACGCGTGCAGTGCACGCGCCCGGCTTTTGCCCAGGCTGTGCGCGAAACGCGCACAGCCTTTTTTTTTTTTTTTTTTTTTTTTTTTTTTTTTTTTTTTAATTTTCTGACATTATGCCTACACTTGCAGGACAACTATTTCTAAATTATCTCCCCCTCACATTAGTTATTATCTCTACATGGGAAGAAAGCAAACTGAAATAACTCCACATTATCCATTAGTGTGGAGGCTCTTAATGAGATCAATGTGTAAATGGACTTGAAAATTGCTAACTATAAAGGACCCAAGATAGTTTAGCGATGAAAAAATGAGTAAGACCAAGGCTTAGAGCCTTAGAAACAAATTATATAATTATCCTATAACTTCGGGACGAAAATTGTAATATTTTTAATATATATTTTATTTTATTTTATTTTATTTATCCTTTTCTTCTTATCTCTTCTCAATCTAATCCAACATACTCTTCATAGTTTAATTCTCACGCGCCATACTCCAACATCAATTTTATATCGTCGTGCACATCACTTATAACGAAACGCGTAGAATCACACATAAAAGCTGGAAAGTACAGAAAGCCTGTTAATACGTTTTGGGCTTACGCTTTTAGGCTTGCTTGCCCCCTCGGGCTTCTATATCTTTCTTCTTTCTCCTTCGACAGCGACAGTGATTCAATTCTGCGGAGAAATTAAAGAAAAAAAATGAAAATTTTCGTGAAGACTCTCAAGGGCTCTCACTTCGAAATCGAAGTGAAACCAGAAGATACGGTACTATTTTTTTCTTTCTATTTTTAGTTTTTTTTTTCCTTGATAAATATAGGCATGTTGTATAGCTGTATGTTTATGATTGTTAGGGTTTAGCGTTAATTCTTTTATGTTATTTGGCTTGAATTTTCTTGAGATTTTGATTGAATTGGATGAGAATTAGGGTTTTGTGGAAGCAGGACTGTGAAATGCGTGATCATTGCAGTTGATTGAGCTTTTATTAGTTTGGGAATTGAATTGACTTCGTTTGAAGTCTGATATTATTGGGTAATTGTGTTTGTTTGCAGTCTTTTATGTTTATATAGGATCTTAGGATTAAAATCTTGTGTTGATAGTGTAGTTCTGAGCTGAGTTTGTAGTGAAAATTGGGGCTTTTGGAATGGTAGCCAGTACTCAAGTTAATAGTTGCTGTTTTGTGCGTCATTGGCTTCTAAAACTCACTGAAATTTGTGATTTTTTTTTTTTTTTTAATTTCTCGATGCTAGTAAAAAAAAGGGCTAATTTGGTGTTTTTCAAATACTTTGAATAATTTGAATAGTTAGATTCATATGTATTTGTGCATTTATTAATGATTTAAGTGATTTAAAAAAAAAATATAGAATCACATTATAAAATGAGGTTCTAGAAATTGAATTTTTTAGTCTAGTCACTGTCAGCTCTGTGAAGAGATGAAATCAGTAGTTAAGCATTTACACTGTTTTGCCCATCTTTATTTGATGTGGCTTGCTGACACAGTGACAGTTCTGGTATTCTTTCTCCTTCCATTCTCATTTAGTGTCTCTGTGCACATATGTTACCAGCACTACAAACAAGTGAAAAAATTAAATCAGTAGTCATATAAGTATTTACTCTGCTTGCCCCATATTCTTTTATTAATGGCTTGCTCACACTACTGGTAATTTTCTCCTTTAATTCTTATTTATTGTCTGGGCACATATGATGCCAACACTACACACAAGTGTGCACCAAGGACAAATTTTAAGTGCTTTCTGTATTTTTAATTTTTATTGGCTGTACTTAGCAATTAACCACCCTGAACCTCTATGATTAAAGTTTAAAAAATTCTTAAATTGTTGCTTTTACTTTATTTTTGAGAAATGATGTAATCCCAGTGTCTATTTTTGTATGCTTCACCATAATGGTATTGCCTTGAGGCTTTATATGTAAATTTTTTAAGCAATTATATGGATTTTTTAGGTTGCTGATGTCAAGAAGAGCATTGAGACTGTTCAAGGATCAGATGTTTATCCTGCTTCCAAGCTGATGCTTATCCACCAGGGAAAAGTTCTTAAAGATGGAACAACCTTGGAGGAGAATAAAGTTGCTGAAAATAATTCTGTTGTGGTCATGATATCTAAGGTAAATGTTCAGTGCTGCTACCATTATGATATTCATATACATCCATGCTTGCACACACTTGTAGGTGGAGCTTTTGGTGTGTGAAATTATGAGAACAAACTGAGCTCTCAAAAGAAAGCATTAGAGAAAACAATCAACGCAAACACTTAAACAAATATCAATAGAAAACGGTTTTAAGACACTTCCAACTTAACCAACCGTGTATTATTTTGTAGTTTAATATTTCTTTAGCTACTTAGCAAATAGTCATGGTGGATTGGTGGTTAGATGCAATAATATATTCTTAAGCTACTTTCAATGAGGCGTATCCATAGACCAAGCAACGTACATATTTATGAACCCATAAGAATAAGTACCAATGTAAAAATGCAAAGCCTCATCCTATATGATCACGTGTTATTTTTGTCCAAAGAGTCAATCCCTCAAAACACATGATGAAGAGATCTCGAATCATGCAATTGATCAAGTAAGCAAGCATTAATCATACAATGAGTTGAACACAATTAATATGTTAAACAACTAAGTACTTGTAATCAAAATTATCAAACTAATGAAGGTAATAACAAAACAAGGATCACTTGTCAAGCCTTAGACAAGGTGTCCAGTCTCTTATGTTCTTAAACAAAGGTGTTTTAAACTTTTAATATTGAATTGGAAAATATTAATATTAACATTAATGATGATTTTGAACACAGTTCAGATTTCAGAATTACGTTGGCAGTTATATTTTTCTCATTCAAAGGTTCATGTATATTTTAGTTAGAATTGAACTACACACACACACAATGTATATCCGTATGTATGTTGAACTTATCTAATTAGTTTGGCCCCCTCAAATACTGAGGTCAAGCTTTGCCCCTACACTGCCTGAAAGATGGATGGAGACAATTATGCATCTTCTGCCTCCCTTCTTTATTCAATCTCATGCCTTATGTTTTAAAAGATATGGACAACTGTGACAATTCAAAGGATTTCTATTCTTTGCTTATCTTCTTCTTCTTCTTCTTCTTTTTCCATAATTTTTCTAAATATGCTGCATTTTTAGAGCAAGAGCACATCTGGAGAAGGTTCAGCATCAGCTACACCTACAACCAAGGTTGGTAATACTATGCTTTAATGAGAATTGTTTCTTGTTCTTTATCTTTGTGCTTGTTTACTCTAGGTAGTAACAATAGTATCTCAAGTCCTCAACATCATTATTTATCACCGAGTGCTAGAAGGGCATCCTAGTATTTCTACAATGATTGCCCACAACTCTTGGATAGTGGATTATTATCCTAGGGCCACAGGGCGGAGAAATCCCCATCCCCAATTTTAGCATATTATATATAAAATATAAAATTGTACATAAATAAAGAGTTAAAATATGAATTTTAACAAACATCATACAATATTACAATTACAAGTCAGATTGTGGTTCATTAATACATAGAATATCCATTCAATCCAATTCTTCAAAGCAATGACCTTGAAATATCTCCAAACCTTTAAACTTTCTGCATAACAGGTTAATCTCAAACATAATTTCCATACACAGGCACACAAATTTGATATGGCACAGTAAGCAATCACTGATTCACAGAAAAAAAAAAACAAAAAACAAATTCTTGTGTATATAAAATTAAAAAATATGGATTAATCTGGTAAAATTAGAGGAAGATGATCTTGGTAAATGCCAAAATGAGTTCAAGAATCAAGATGAAAGCCACATATAGAAATGAATCTTAAGTCTTAACTACGTACAAAGTTTTAAAAAAATGAAAGAGAGTTACCAAAGATGTAGACTGCCAGAGGCTGAGTCGTTGCCGATGAGGGGAGTGACGCTGCCTGAGTGGCTGCGACGCATTGTTTGGTGCTGGCAGGTGGCTGGCTGTCATGCTAAGTTGTTGGCGCTGCCGGTGCTGGCTTCTGTGCTGGTGATCAGGTGTGTGAAGGGGCAGGGACACGGGTCACTGGTTGCAGGGTGGGCGGCTGTGGCAGTGCGGCGATTGGTAAAAAACAGAAGGGTTAGAAACATTGAATTAGGGTTTAGTGAATAAGGGAAGAGGAATATATATATATATATACACACACACACACACACACACACAAGGTTTAAAAAGGCGCAGTGAGGCGAGGCGGAAGGATATAGCACTGAGGCGTTAATTGAGTCGATTTTGGCCTTTTGTATATTTTAGAGCCCAATTTATTTTTTTAAGCCCAATACAAAAAGACCCAACCCAATACAAAATATTTTCAACCCTAATTTGACTAAAGATAGGAGTTAGAAGTCTGAAATGTGAAAGAACGAAACCAGAAACCGGAAAGTGCAAAGTCTGTGCTGCTACTGCCAACTGTGGTGCGACTTGCGAGTGTGTGACACGACCTCCATCTCCGGCGAGCTCCCCCCTCAGACTTATATTTAGACTTATATTATGTTTGATGTTTTTTGGTGTGTTTCTTTGAGACTTTTAGCTAATGAACTTTAATCTTATATTTTGGTGAATTTTATGAATAATGTTTACAGGCTTACAGCTTACTAATATATTCTTAGGCTAAAAATTGAGGCTTACGCCTCGCCTCAAATTACAAAAAGCCTCAAGGCACGCCTTCGCCTTTTAAAACCTTGTATATATATATATATATATATATATATATATATATATATATATATATATATATATATATATATATATATATATATATATATATATATATTATTTCTTAATATATCAGGGAGGGTATTCTTTGTCCCCACCCTGACCTTGACAGGGATTACAATTTACAAATATCCTTTTGAATCAATCCTTAAATATTTATTTATTTGTTTTCCTCTTAAACAACTAAATGACGAACATGACTAGGATTTTTCCATTGCATCTATTATTTGCTAACAGTGTTGTTAAAATCGCTAGTCATGTATTGGGCATTTGATGGGCGCCTAACTAATATATATATACATGTTGTGTGTGCTTGCTTCCTCCCATAAAATATAAATGTTTAATTGCACGCAACACTCCAACCATACCGCAAACGATCCATCAAATTAGCAAATAAAAAAAAAAACAAAAAATGAAACAAAAAAAAGGCTGCCTAGGCCACCTAATCAGCCAAGTCAGCTGCCTAGTCAACCAAGCACCTAATATGGCAAGTTTCCCATTATTCCCTTCAGCCTAGGGGTGCCTAGGCAGCTCGCCTAGGTCAATTATTACAACATTATTTTCTAAAATTTATTTGGTCAAGTAAATGATTAGCATTGTATGGTTGAAGTGGACTTTGAGACCTTAATTCAAATGTGTGCCCTTAGACCTTCAACTCGGAAGTGTGAAATAAGTGGTTTGATGGACGGGAATCTTATTAGTTGAGGTAAATGCGAAATTGTGCTCTATATAATCGGGAAATAAGTATTTTTCTTTCAAATTAATAGTTCACATTTTTATTTTGCATTAAGAAAATGTCTTTTTTGGCAAATATGACGCTTGGTGCAGACATAGGCAAAGGTGCTTGTTTGGCCCAGTAGATTGATTCTTGAAAGCAGGGTTTTCTAAAAATCCCCATTTTGGAACAAACTGAAAAAGTGGCCTTTTCTTCTTAGCTATCCATAGAAAGACTTTCATATTTCTAGTGCTTAGTTTTAACTATTGAAATAAATATCTAGCAAAATATGTTTGGCCAAACAAGTACATAGGCCTATGTCAAGGCTTGTACATGTGGTGGTTTCTAGTTGCTGTAATTGTTTCAAATATTTAATTCTTTGATCAGGAAAGCCTTCTTCATTTATAATTGTAGTATATACTTGATGACTTGTAAACAAGGTTTCAGATGCAAAATTGTTTTAATGCCTTTGCAGGAATCATCACAGGCAAGCAACCCACCTGTTAGCTCAACTCCTGCATCTACAAATACTGCGTAAGTTTCCTGCTTCCATGAATTTTCTTGTAGATTCTGCTCCCCACCCCCCACCTCTTCCCCTGGGCATATAAAAAGTTATGTTTGTGATTCATCGTTTTCTATGTTTTTCTCATATGGACTTTATATAATTGCTTTAGTGCAAATGTTTTGCAGGCCCGCTCCTCCTGCAGTAACCCCTGCCCCCACCCCTGCACCCGTTGCAACTGCAGGGTGAGCTCAACCTTCAAGTGAAGAACTTGGTTTTTATTGAATTTATGTTTACGCTTTCTACTTTCTTAACATCTTATACATTTATATTGACAGATCAGAAGAAGATGTCTATGGTCAAGCAGCTTCTAACTTGGTCGCAGGAAACAACCTTGAGTCAGCAATTCAGCAGATTCTTGACATGGGTGGGGGAACCTGGGATCGGGACACTGTAGTTCGCGCTTTGCGTGCTGCTTATAACAATCCTGAGAGGGCTGTTGAATATTTATATTCTGTAAGTCTTCTTTTTATGTATGAATTTTTTCTGGGGAAGATAGTTCTGTAAGCATGACCTATTTTGAGCATGCAAAAAACTTTCATGCTATCCTGCAAGTAGTGCTCATGTTTGGTATATGTATTGCCTGATAGAAGATATACCAAAGCCTTCTTTTCAAAACCTGAAGAATTTTGTTACATGTTGTAATGTGCAAATATTCTAGCATGGGCATTACTTTATAGGGGGTTCTAATATGAGTTTCCTTTGAGCGATTCTTTTCAGGGTATCCCCGAGTCAGCTGAAGCTCCTCCTGCAGGAGGAAACCCACCCATAGTGCAAGCTGCAAACCAACCAGCTCAACCTCTGCAAGCTACAGAACCTGTACCCGTTCCTTCAAGTGGACCAAATGCAAACCCTTTAGATTTATTTCCACAAGTACCTAAGTTCTCAGCTCAGATTGTTTTGACCATTATTATTTTGAGGGTTGGTTTTAAACATTTTATTTTTAACAGGGTCTTCCAACCATGGGTTCCAACACAGGAGGTGCAAACTCCTTAGAATTTTTACGCAATAGCCAACAGGTATACCTTTTACTCATGTCCTACTTTCCTGCCCCCCAACTCTTCTTCAAGATAGTAATAAAGGGATAAAGGAAAATATTTACTAGCTAATATGTTCAAACAAAATATTTTGTTATCAGTTCCAAGCCTTGAGAGCAATGGTTCAAGCCAACCCACAAATATTGCAGGTTTGGAACACTCTTACCAAAGTCTCTTTCCAGGTTTATTTTGATATTGTGAATTAATAATCTTATTCTCATTTTCTTGGCAGCCCATGCTTCAGGAGCTGGGAAAACAGAATCCCCATTTAATGAGGCTTATACAGGAGCACCAGGCTGATTTTCTTCGCCTTATCAATGAACCTGTTGAAGGAGGAGAAGGGTACGTTGGGTCCTTGGTTTTGGTATAGTTTTTGAAGTATATAGTTAAACACCTAACATATTCTTCATTTGTTGTCAGCAACATACTTGGGCAGCTTGCAGCATCAATGCCTCAGGCTATTCAAGTAACACCCGAGGAGCGTGAAGCAATAGAACGTGTAAGTGTTCACTTGCTCCAAGTATGTATTATGATTGCTTCATGCATACCTTTTGATGGGAAATTGCTGGGTCATCTACCCTTGTCCCTTTATTTTTGTGGTGTGGGATTCTGTTTTGTTTTTGTTTTTGTTTTTGTTTTTGTTTTTGTTTTGTATGGGTGGGGGTGGCTGGTGGGGATGTGTGAATGTATTCTTCTTTGTGAGTGTTATGCAATCCATAAGCTAGGTGTTTGTAATGACAAAAATAACATCGCACATCTCACATGTTTTATGTTTGTCTAGAGTATCATGTATATGATGACTAAGGCTATCTTTATCCCTACAATACTAACTTTCAAAAGTGGACCCTACTTCCACATCACCAAATTTACAATTCTTTTATTATTTTGTTTACATCCATGCAATACTGTTTCACTTTCAAAAGTGGACCCTACTTCCATATCACCAAATTTATAATTCTTTTATTATTTTGTCCACATCCCTGCAATACTCTTTTACTTTCAAAAGTGGACCAATTTTCAAATAACATTATTATTATAATATAATACCGAGTAATAAATAATAATATAGTAATAAATAAAAAATTAATAAAGGATTCAGCAGCCTTTTGTCATCTTGAAAGCTTTCAGTTGAAAGCTTTCAAGCCAAGCTGACACCATAAACCTTTTTTTTTTTTTTTTTTTTTTTTTTAAATCCATGTCATCTTGAAAGGGGAAAATTGTAGGAATAAATCCAGCCTAAACCTTAGAAAGTAGTAGATGCAACTTCCACCAGCCTATTTGAAGTGAATCTTTTCTGAAATTTTAGTTTTGTAAGAATGGTTGTACAATTGTACCTTTTAATTATTAGCAGGTGAGTGATTCAATAGCATAGTAGTGTTGTTAATTTTTGTATTGGTTGATTTAGTTGTATGTATGGTTTTGTGTTGCAGCTTGAAGCAATGGGATTTGATCGAGCGCTTGTACTAGAGGTATTCTTTGCTTGCAACAAGAACGAGGAATTGGCAGCCAACTATCTGTTAGATCACATGCATGAGTTCGAGGACTGATGTTGGAAGTAAAGTTCGGTGACCTCTCGGTTTTTAATATAACTATTATTATCCGCATCTCTTTCTCATGCTCACCACCGTACATGCATTAGTTTCCGATTAGCATCTTCTGCGTCCGTGTGCACTGTGCAGTGTAAAAACCCAAAATAATTGTAACTATATTTCCTGTTTTGACTTGTGTCTTCTTCAGCTATCTTCTTGTTTTCTATAATTAGAACTGTCTTATTATATATCAATGTTTGGTACCGTGTCACATTCTTCTTGTCGCCAACTTAATCAATGCTTTGGTTCTTAGAGTTTTCACGGATTGCCTATTTCTTCGTTTCTGCATTTCTTTTGGCATGTAGAAGTTGGGCAAATTTTACCATGCATCAGGGTCTACTTTGCATTGTAGATTTTGGTTTAAAATAATATTTACATTATGTGTCTGTAGTTAATAAATTGCGTTTTAAAATAAATTGAAGATACATAATATGTTAGTTATATTATGTGCTTTTAATATATTTATAATTATAATAATACATAATTTTGGGATCATCATTCACAAGACAAGGTGACCTTTGGTTCATGGTATAACAATTCCAAAAGTTGGTTTATAGTTAAGGAGTACAAATTTTGACTACAATCATGTCTAATTTTGGCTACTTTGTTCCCTCTTCATAATGGATTTTGTCAATTTTTTATTTTTTATTTTGTTTACTAGACAGTCTTTTGAATTTCTCAATTATGCATAATTAGGAAATGAGTATGACACATTTTTCTAAAAAGCAACCTTTATTTTTTAATTTTTTTTAGATGAATAACAGTACTAACAACAAAAAATATATATATAAACAAATAAATAAAATAAAAACAACTACTCCGTATAATAATAAGGTAAAAGCACATTCAGAAATTTTGTAATTTTAAATTTAGTTCAGTAAAAATATGAAATTAGATAGGAAAAATTATAATTTATACCCTCCATAATATGCCAATTATTAATATTACTCTTGAATTATTAGTGGAGTAAATGTTGCCCATCAATTTTCTAAATGGTATATATAATGTTCTCCCGTAGTATAAATGTTGCCCCTCATATTTCAATACGGTACATATATTGCCTCTCCCATAAGGTATGTGAGGGACAATATATGCAGCGTTTTAAAAACTGAGGGACAACAGTATATCACTAATAATTCAGGAGTGATATTGATAATTGGCAATAGGTATAAATTACAATTTTCCTAATTAAATATATGATCAAGTTAGCATTAATTATTTTAATGTTTATAATAATTATTTTGAAATAAAATTATAAATTAGATGGATGAAGGAATCGACGTGGGATGGGATATGAAGTGACACGTGCTTTTTGAACAGTGAGTCATTATTCATTAATTAGAACAGACGTGTCGGCCTCTTCAAAAGGTCGGTTTCAATTAATAATTATAATAATTTATACTCCGTATTCCGTAATAATTAATTTTTGAAAAGTCCGTAATAATTAATAAACATCGTGGGTTTGAAAAGAAAAGAAAAGAAAATAGTATTTTGGAGGGAAGAACGCAAACGTCGTTATAACAGACAGACATGGCCTTCCGATTCAGATCTATCTTCTCCGCCACGCCTAAACTCCATTCCTCTAAAAGGTAACTTTCTCTCCATCGCTTCTCTCCTTTTCTCTTTCCAGATCGATCCCTTTTCGCACCTTCAATTTTTCCAGGAAGAGCACACGAAGCTTATACTGACGCTATGTTCTTCGTTCCGTGCCGACAAGGGTGAGGGCCAAGGCATTCGGTGCGAGGATTTCCATGGAAGAGGAGGAGGCGGCCCCCGCTTTCGGCCCCGGCACGCCGCTGTCTACGGTGGCGGATGCGTTCGAGCGTCTTACCGCGGAGTTGAACACCAAGGAATTTTGTAATGTTAAATTGAAACCTTTCTGTGAGGCGTGCTCTCTCGTTTCTGTCCTTTTTGGTTGTTTAGGGATCGCCTTCAAATTCGCCGAGCTTGAATACGTTGCCAAGGTTTGCTTCTGTGCAATTGAGATATTTTTTCAATTAAAATCTGATCATATTACTTTATTAATAATTGCCATTTTCATACTAGTTTAGATGAAAGGTAGAAATGTTTTTAACTTAAAACATTACATTATAAGAATTCATGAAAATGTCTCATTGGCATATATTTTCCTTGTTTGTTTGCAGATCTAATTGCATAAAAAGTTCAGTGACCTATTTGAAGTTATAAGTCATCTATTTGACATTTGTTCTTACAGATAATGATAATCATGGGGAAATTTGTGAATTGCAAAGTTTGCATAAAAGCTATAAGTTCAGTGACCTATTTGAAGTTATAAGTCAGTGATTATTTGACATTTGTTCTTACAGATAATGATAATCATGGGGAAATTTGTTCTTACGAGTAATAGATTGATTCATAACTAGCATTAAAAGATTGCATTGTCTCTTCTATCCATCCATACCAAATTTTGCTATTGTATTGTGCTTTTGTTTTCAATTCCCTGTTCCTACATTCATTATATTACTGTCATTGGCTTTGCAGGTTCAAAGCCTCACGGAAGCATCATCTAGATACGAAACTTTAGAAAGTATCCTTGACTACGATGTTGAAAACAAAAGTGTGAAAACAGCAGGGAGTTTATCGCGCAATTTACGCAGAGTGAGGCAGGGTTTACATCTGATGAAGGATATATTTCAGAATTTTCTGTCTTCCTGGTATGTCATTAATTTGCCTGCACAACTTTTGTAGTTATCCTCTTTCTTTGAAACAACAACTGAGGACACTGCTTTGCTCTCTCCAGTGACAGCTCCTTGAAAGATGCTGCTTCAAATGCATATGCCAAAGTTTGTGCACCCTATCATACATGGGCTGTCAGGACTGCAGTTTGTGCTGGCATGTATGCCCTGCCAACTCGCGACCAACTTCTGGAGAGGATGAAAGAAAATGGTCAGTTTGTTCTATCTACTTTCTTAGTGAAGTTGGGTTCTGATAGTGGGTTTTGCATATATTAAAAACTTGATGCTGATGGATTGATTAATTATGGATGAAATGTGTGCATCCTAGCAGATAACCAGCTAGCATGATTAGTAAAAACTAGCATATATGTTTTGTTGTATTGTTAGTTCTGTGATTTCAATCAATACCCTTCTGCTCGTGCATCTTTGCCATGGTTGATGTATCAATTGTTATGGAGAACAAATTATAGTTTCCCCCCACCCAAAAGTTTTTGTTGGTTCCTTTGCCAAGCAAGATTCAAAACAAAAAGGGGGAGTGGTGCCACATCCAATGGGTGTGTGAAGAGCACACGCCCGTTGGGGACCTTGCGTGAATCAAACCTGTGTGTTTTTATTCTTCGACTAAAATTGAGGTTCTAGCAGGAGAACCTCTTCCTTCTCTATCCTCCAATATGTGCATGTTCTTTATCCTTCCAAGTTAGCCAAAAATCACAAAAAACACCTCTATTAAGGTTGCTCTTAGGATCTTAATCGATAGTTTGATTAGAATTTCGTTTTATTTTTTAAAAAAAAAAAATTTGACAATGACAATTTTGTGGCAGATGTGTCAGCCGAGCAGGAAATGAAAAGATACATCAATGCTTTAAATCCAATCATCGACTACATTGACAATCTCTACATTTCAAGAAACATCACCTTGGATTGGTAATGTTCATCTTTGTTCGACTGGATCAATGCCCCTCTTGCTTGGCAAGTAGCAACCACTCTCAATGTTGAGCAAGAATATCTGCTCATAGAGGTTAGGTTTAGCTTACTTGCGATTTTTGGAGGTGATTTCAGCCTAAGTTACTGGGATTTAGAGATTGTTAGAGCTAGATTTGTCCATATATAGTTAAATTGGCATATTTATAGATGAAAATCATGCCAGAAAATAGAAAACTACTTCAAACTTTTTTGACATGAACACATTCTTACATTTTCAGATTGATTTTGATCTAATTGCAGCATTGAATAGCCAGGTTAATTTGATTGCTCTTGAATCCTCTCAAAGTTCTTCTATCCTATTCTTCTGTTAAGCGAATGTCATATATGAGTACCTAACCTTGATTCCTTGAAGGCATAATAAACGTTCTTAAAGAAAAAGCAAAAACTACCAATTCCTAGTTTGAAAGCTGCTTGATGAGTGCAAAACCTTCGAATAATGTCATAGAAAGCATACATCAAAATCGCTAGAAGGAAGGCTTGAACCTCCGACCTTGTGGTTAACAGCCACACGCTCTAACCAACTGAGCTATTCCAGCTACCATGTTTAAATACTGTAGTATATACTGAAGATATTATTAAGAATAATTTTAAATAATAGATCTTTAAAGAACATGAGAGGTTGACAGATCGTAACGAGGATTTAATTGAATTGCAATCTTGAATTTAAATCTATCTAACCCAAATAATAGATCTTTAAAGAACATGAGAGGTTGACAGATCGTAACGAGGATTTAATTGAATTGCAATCTTGAATTTAAATCTATCTAACCCTATTATGAGTGGAGAGAAATTTATGAAGTGAAAAACTGAAAATATCAAAAGTCCAGTAAAAATAATTTCAAGTCCCCTTTCATAGTTGCTGGAGTTGCGCCTCATTACAAAATATTGAGCCGCTCATCACGATCGACCTAGCGGTCATGTGTCCGATCGTAACGGTTTTACTCTGTACAACAGTTCTAGTTTCAAACTCATTTTTCGCCTTATATATCTTTCTAATTTCGTTTAAATCACTTGATTTGAACATTATATTCCTACGCTGAGATATTATTAAAATATCGAGACGTTGCCCGACACAGAAAATCATAAAATAATTTGTCACATTATGTGAGTGCAGGGTTGCAAAAATCCCGCTTAGGCACCGAGTAATCGGCGCCTAGGCGCTAGGCGCCTAGGCGCTAGGCGCCCCTAGGCCATGGAGATTCCCCCCTAGGCTCTCGCCTAGGAGACCGGCAGCCTAGGCGCCTAACTCGGCCGATTACGCCGAGTTAACCCGGCCGGCTTGACCTTGCTATATATATATATATATATATATATATATATATATATATATATATATATATATATATATATATATATATATATATATATATGTATATGTATGTATAATATGACATATATGCACCTACCCACGTGCACTGCTTTTCATTTTTTCAGTTAGCTGTCTAGGCGATCGCTTAGGCCCCGCCTAGGCCGTCTAGGCGCTAGGCACTACTCTACCGCCCGACTAGCGCCTAGCGCCTATTGCAACCATGTGTGAGTGTCACGTCTTTATCTTCATTTTCTTTATTCCTTTGGGTCTTCACTCCAAAATTGATAAGTCAGTTAAGTAAAATTATATAAGTTAATTTTTAAAGAATCCTTAAAATCATAAATAAAAATTCAACAAATAATTTAAATATAATTGAAATATTTTTTTAATTAAAAACCATTAATCCAATTATATGTATGATCCCCTAATCCCTAGCACAAAACCAGGGAGAGTACATCTAAATTAAAGCATATAATTCATTATCCGACATATCAAAACACTTTCCCTTAGCTTCCCTCTCTTTGACACTTCTCTCCGCCATATCCGCCATAGTTATGCCCTCCTTCTCTTTGCATAAGGAGCATCAACATCATACCAGCAGCCATATTTGGCATTCCTGCATGGGGAAGTGCTATGTGTTCAAGCTTTCTTTGATCAGCCATGTTGGGTTTTGGTATTTTCTCAGTTGCAAGGTGATTTCTTGTAGCTAGTAGCACTTTCATCTCCTGCTCAACCAATTGTGGGTTGCTTAGAAACATGGTCAAGAGATCAGGATCTATTAAATCATTTTGGGAAAGTCGGACAAGTGTAGCTATGGCAGCAATTAATTCAGGATCAATTTGTAATCCTGTATATGATGGTATGGTAGTAGGATTTCCATGGATGATTGATGTGCTCTCTTTTGCTGCAACTGGCTGTGAAGAAGAAGCACAGATTTTGCACGGAGGTTGCACTTCTCCCTCTTCTACTTCTTCTATTGGATTTAGGGGCACATGATGATGAAAAATGCACCTGTCATCTTGGGATTTGTCCTCCAAATCCAACACAACAGAAGGGCTGTATATATGGGTATGGGAGAAATTTTAGATTATGATCAAGTAAAGTAATATAATGAAGTTTATTTATCTTATTAAGCTTCAACAAATTGAAGAGATTAGAGATGAAAAGAAAGTGAAGAGGATAACTTACTTTGGAGCAATAATGGAGTAAGGAGGATGAACATAAACCTGTTGTGCCACACCCTTTCCCCTATGCTTTTGGAGCTCTAACTCCACACTCTCCTCCCCACCACCAATAAACAATTCATCACTACGCATGGAGACCTGCAAAGTTGAACATATATAAGAGAAATTAATTAATATTTATGAAACTAACAAAAAAGAAAGACAAGGGGCCAACTTAATTACTTTGGAAGGGCATTTCCATTGAATAAGTTGTTTTCGTTCCTGTTAAGAAACATGCATGTATAGATTCTTTATATATATTATTTCGAAAAGAGTAAATATATGTATGCAGATATAAGAAGAGAGAAGGAATTATAGCTTAGATTTGCCCTTAGCTTGCTTTCAAACCCTAGACTAAATGTTCCTTTTCATAAAAAATGGGAATGTTATGAAACAAAAGAAATAGATGTGCGTGAATGTCCAAGATGAGATAATATTTTATAGGCACAAGAGTCAAATAGACGCATCTACTACTGCGAAGTGCTCAATTTTCACCATGAACTAAATTAAGTGTCAAATAAACTCATCTACCAGCTAAAGGAATATTTTATAGTCACAAGAGTCAAATAGACTCATCTACTACTGCGAAGTGCTCAATTTCCACCATGAACTAAATTAAGTGTCAAATAAACTCATCTACCAGCTAAAGGATTAAAACTAAGGCTAAACAATTAGCATAACAGATGTAAATTAGCAAAGTATAAAGTTCATGAATTAATAATGTTCTTGTCTCATTTTTCTGGAAAGTGTAATTTTCAGTCTCATTGTAATAAGAATATATGTTTCTTCAATATCATACAATTTGATCGATCATGAGTAGCTAGCATTAGTATAAAACGTACTTTTGCTAAAATTTCCCCTTTTATGTTTTTTTTTTTTTTTTTTTTTTTGGTACTTATTTCCCCTTTTATGCTCATGTTAGTAAAATGTTTCCCTGTGCTTAAACAACTTCATTCATTTCCATTCTCAATTTGAAGAAGTTTGTTTCTCCCCAAGATAAATTCAAATGCCTAAACTATTCTTTTGACAATCTAGTAACTCATAAATATTTGACAATCTAATCGAAGCATGCAGCAGTTATATATAGAAGGCCAAAAATGTGACATTAAAATGTATTCTAAGGGAGTGCCCTCGGTTGTCCAAAAGAGTTCTTGAAATTTTATGCACCCCCAGTAAATATCGAAACTATCGCAAGAGATGAACGAATTGGGATACCCGGTAGACAGAATTTAGATGGAAGCTAAATGTATATATAACCTTGGGGTATCGCCCCAATGGATGTAAAATTAATTAATTAATTGAGTTATCATAAACATGATTTTATGTCATTTTCACTTCCAAGCACAAAAGAAATACATCGCATATCCAATTATCCATACACGGACATCTACATTTGACAAACAAAAGCACACAACAATCTTTGAAGATAAATAATAATAAAAAAAAAAAAACAAACAAACAAACAATCAAAACTGAGTTTAATTTCAAAAATTAAGCACGATTAATTTAACTTTAATTTAATTAATCAACGAAGACGTTTAATAAAAAAAAAAAAAAACGAAAATGTAGACATTTTTACTTGATGGAATTTGGTCTGCACTCGAAAAATGTTACTGGATCTCATTTTTTTTGTTTAACTGCAACTTGTAGTCACTTTTCTCCCATTTTTCTTTATCTTCCTGACCAAGGTAGAGTCTCCATTAACGACTTTCAAAAATTTTAATTATAAACATGTACTATCATAACACGGACATCTAGATCTGACAAACAAAAACACAGAAATTTTTGAAGACAAAGACTCAAAAATCACGAAAACAAACAACCAAAACTTAGTCTATTAGTTTCAAAAGCTAATTAAGCACGATTAAACTTTAATTTAACTAATCAACAAAAATGTATGTAGTTTTACCTGTCGGAATTTTATGTTGGGATGCCATGAACCTCGGCTTTGTTTCTCGATTTCCTTCCTTGATTGGATGTTTCGAGACAAACCCTCCATTTTCTTGAGAAAAGCAAAACAAAAACAAAGAAGAATTCTTTTTTTTTTTTTTTAACAAAGAAGAATTCCTTAGTCTTTGCTTTTTCAGAGAAAAAAAAAATTCAAAAAATTTATGTCTCGAGTGAGCAGATTAATGTGATATATATATATATATATATATATATATATATATATATATATATATATATATATATATATATATATATATATATATGATAGCAAATAGAATGAAGTTGTGTTTATAGTTTATAACAGCTCAGCGCCATCATATATACCATAAAACCTGAGGATCACTTTTGCTATTGGAACTTAACGTGACTAGCGTGAGAGTTGATAGTTTTGGATCTTAGAATTCGTATAAAGATTTACTGAGGTCAATAGATGGTTGAATTCATTAATTTTAATAAACAATAATAGTAAATATGTATATATTCCTAATAAAAATTTTATAATCAATTACTTTATTGAAATACTATTTAAGAGTTCGAGATTTTCAAATGTATAATAATATATTAATTACTTTCATATATGAATATATAGTAATAGTTATTACGGAGTATATATTAATTAATAATTACTATAATGCTATTTTTATTACATTACTATATCTATATATTTTTTATAAGCATATCATATGAGAATTTTATTCAATTTGAGAATTTTATTCAATTTGTTAAATTATTAGTAATTTATTAACTTTTTTTTCTAAGAGTATCAATATCAGTTTGGAATTATTCACAAGTTTTTATGAGCTTACAAGGGAAGAGAATAAACAAAGGGAAGAAAGTAACCGGAAATGCGCCAGCAGGCACGTACAGTGCACACGCCCGTCTGGGCACACCCCGTGCACGTTACGTGCAGTGAGACAGTACTTCAAGTCATTTGCTCTCACATAGTGGCCCCCACAATAAACTCAAAATTACAGAAATATCTAGCAAATAAACTTTTCCCCACACTTGTTAAAAATCCCTCCTTGGTTTATTCATCTGCAAAAACTCAATAATATTCTTTGGTGTAGATGCTCTAACTACAACTTGCAATAGATCATGCACTTTTCTCTCAATTTTCTTTATCTTCTTAATTGACTAAGGTAGAGTCTCCATTAATGACTTTCAAAAATTAACTTAAGATAATGGATTCATCTAGAAATTAAATCCTACAAATTATATTTGAGTCTATATCTAGGAGAGGAAAGAAGACAAAAAATAGGAAGTGGAATCTTTACACCCACATAGATCAGACTACTCGAAAAATGTTACTCTCACTTTCTTTGTCTAACTACAACTTGTAGTCACTTTTCTCCCATTTTTCTTTATCTTCTCGACTAAGGTACAAGCTCCATTAACAACTTTCAAAAATTTAATTATAAACATGTACTATCATAACAAAATACTACTTCAAATTATTTTACTTGAATTATCATAAACATGATTTTATGTTATTTTCACTTCAATTCCACGCACAAAAGAAATACAACATATATCCAATTATCCATACACGGACATCTAGATTTGACAAACAAAAACACAACAACCTTTCAAGATAAAGAATCGAAAATCAAAAACACAAAAAAAAAAAAAAACAAAAAAACAAAAAAACAAAAAAACAAAAAAAAAACAAAAAAAAAAACAAAAAAAAACAAAAAACAAAAAACAAAACAAACAATCAAAACTGAGTTTAATTAATTTCAAAAGTTAAGCATGATTTAACATTAATTTAATTAATCAACGAAAATGTAGACAATTTTACTTGATGGAATTTGTTGTTGGGACACCATTATTATTATGATAAATTAATCTATATTTAAATTGTTATTTTACATTCATACAAATTAAATTTATGATTTCAAGAAAAAATATTTTTACATTACAAAATTAAGTATGTCAGCACACAATAAATGATAATATAGTTTGAAAAAAGCAAAATTTTAGTCATTCAATTATTTTTAAATTGTCAATGTAATTTTATCTTTTAGTTTGAGAAATCTAGTTCTCTAATTATCCTAGAAATTGTAAATTTAGTCCTAGTATTATAATGATTAATTATTATGAAATAATTAGAGAATTAAATTTCAAAAAAAAAAAGAATTAAAGAATATAATTAATCACACTGATTATTGAACACACTTGAAGCCCAAAATTATGATTTTTTAAATTAAAAAAGAAAAAAAATAAAATTTTCATATATGCATAAATAATAAATGGAGTTAATACCTCCCATGTCTTTCGAGTATTAGTCATTACCAGCTATAGTCATTTGACTTTTTAACAATCACGAGACATCCTTTAAGTTTTTAAACAATAATTACACATAATCTTCCGTTAAGTTTGGTGTCAAATAGACGTTAAATATGAGGACAAACATGTCATTTCACTTATATATCAAGCCTTTGGTAGCGACGAGTTTAATTCGTCAATCTTCGGGAACCACCGGAGCTAGCTGCCAACCTCCGGCGGAGCCTTCGCTGGTTGTAGCACGCAACTGCTCGTCGCTGCGAGGAAACAAGCCGCCGCCGGACGAGCTCTCCCCCGCCGTCATGTACTGGCTCTCGGGCCCTTCGTCGTATAGGATTCCTTTGAAAACGTGGCCGCCGATGTTCACGGCGGTCTGGTACGCGTACTGGTCTTCCGAGTCGTCGGCGGACCTCATCCGAACGCATTGGAATGCCGCATTTAGGCTCACTTTCGCCGGAAAGTTCCCCATTTCTAACCCTATTCACAAAAAAAAAAAAAAAACGAGAAAGAAATAACACCCATCCACTCACAACGCCAATTAAAACAGTAGTAACATAAACTAAAGAAGAAGAAGAAGAAGAGAACGCCAATACAGTAATATTACACAGTCATGTGCATCAAAGATGTCAGAACTATCCCCAAAAGGAGTGAAGAAGGAGAAGAAAAGAAGGAAATGCACACTTCAATTGGGAATTCCACCCAAGCTGACTAAGGATACAAATTCGTAATCACAATATAATGAGTTTAAATCTCGGCCTTCTTGATTTGAGCCGGTTTGAGCAGCTTAGACTAGTTTATCTTTTTGTGGTCCTCATGGGACTTATCTATTACACACCCTGACCCTCCAGTGCACACCTGACCCGAGCTCACTGGCCAATCTAGGTTAGTTTATCCCTTTGTGGTTCTAGTGGGACATATCCTGTGCACACCCTGACCCTCATTGGCCAACCTAAGGTGATTTATTTTTTTGTGGTCCTGACGGGACTTATCCAGTGCACACCATAACCCTAGGGTTGTGGCGGCAGATTTTCCTCGTAACTCAAACAATATATATAGTTTTAAATGTAAAAGTAGTTGAAGGAAAAATACCAGCGGCCATATTTGGCAATCCTGCATGGCGAAGTGCTATGTCTTCAGTTGCAAGATGGCTTTTAGCTACTAGCACTTTCATCTCCTGCTCAACCAATTGTGGGTTGCTTAGAAAGATGGTCAAGAGATCCGGATCTATCAATTCATTTTTGGCAAGCCGGACAAGTGTAGTTATGGCAGCAATGAATGCAGGATCAATTTGTAATCCTGTATATGATGGTATGGTAGTAGAATTTCCATGGATGAATGTGCTCTCTTTTGCTGCAATTGGCTGTGAAGAAGAAGCACAGATTTTGCAAGGAGGTACCACTTCTCTCTCCTCTAGTTCTTCTCTTGGATTGAGGGGCACATGAATGCAGCTGTCATTCTGGGATTGGTCTTCCAAATCCAACACAATAGAAGGGCTGTATATATGGGTATGGGAGAAATTTGGATTATGATCAAGTAATTAAAGTAATGAAGATTGTGATAAGATCATAATTAATAAGTCTAATATACACATACATGTGTTCTCAAGATTTTTCTAGTTTATATGGTTGTTATGTATTCCTTGTAGAGTAGTTTCCTATATGTTTATGTATTATATATAGTCTCATGTATGTACTAGTATATTCAATGTATTCTGATCCTTCATTTTTTTTTTCTAGGTTTGTGTATTCTCTGTAGTATATATAATCTCATGTATGTGAGTATATTTTAATGTATTTTGCTCCTTCATTCCTTTCCTAAGTTTGTGTATTCTCTGTAGTATATATAATCTCATGCACTCAATGTATCTGATCCTTCATTCTTTTCCTAAGTTTGTGTATTCTTTGCAGTATGTATAGTCTCTATGTACTCAATATATTTCAATGTATTTTGATCCTTCATTCTTTTTCTAAGTTTGTGTATTCTTTGCAGTATATATATATATATATATATATATATATATATATATATAGACAATCAAAATCATGTATGAACTAACTTTAATCTGCAAACTTCTGAAGGATTATTGGACCACAACTATTCCATGATTGCACCACTACGGCTCTCAACATGCGTGGAGGGCCTTGGGGTGCAAACGTATCCCAGTACAATCATGAAATAAGTATGGTGCAATCCTTTGAATGTTTACAGGTTCGCAGGTTAAGGTCAGTTCGCACATGATCATGTTCTCAGTACATTTCAAGTACTCTGATTATTCATTCTCTGCACTATATGCTTCTCTTATTAACTTCAACAAATTGAAGAGATTAGAGATGAAAAGAAGGTGAAGAGGATAACTTACTTTGGAGGAATAATGGAGTAAGGATGAACATAAACCTGTTCTGCGACACCCTTTCCCCTATTCTTTTGGAGCTCTAACTCCACATTTTCCTCCCCAGCATCAATAAACAATTCATCACTACCCATGGAGACCTGCAAAGTTGAACATATATATAAAACAAATTAATTAATATTTATGAAAGTAACATAAAAGAAAGACATACAAAGGGCCAACTCACTAACATTAGTGAGTTTATTTACAAATAAAAAAACATACAAAGGGAATAAGTTGTTTTGGTTCCTGTTAAGAAACATGCATGCATAGATTCTTTATATATATTATTTCGAAATGCTGATATAATTAAGAAGAGAGAAGAATTTATAGCCTAACTACATTAGATTTGCCCTTGTTTTCAAACCCTAGCAGAC